GAGTTCATACCCCTATCTTTTTATGTTTTCTTAAGTTTTAGGGGGGGGGGGGATACAAGTTAAAACACCAAGAACATAACTAAACTCATCTAACAGCTTTCATCAGAAAAGTTTAACTCTATTCACGGACTGTTTTGGTCAACTTAAACAATTTAGTTTTCAAAACTGTATTAGGTGAAAATAGTTCAAGTTTATAACTTTAAAATGACTACTTGCACATGTTCATATGATTTTTCTACAATTTATGGAGATTTTTACAAAACTACCTATCACTGTAGCTACAAATCTGGACCAGTCTGTGAATATGGACATTTTCACACAAGTTAGAGACATAAAAATCATGATAAAATTTATGAACAAACTAGACACATTTTCTAAACTTCCAGAGTTCACGAATTTAGTTTTTGACTTCATATGATTTTTCTGTGATTTTTCCAAAACATTGCAGAAATGTTAAAAACAAGTTGACAGCTTACAACTTTCATTACACTTTGTAACATGTTGAGCAAAGTGTTAATCTTTGATGTTTCATATTTTACCTATGTTTTCTGTTGTGGAATATTTATATAAAAGGAAGTACTCACTGATTTGTAAGAGTCCTTTGTCATTACAAATAATACAAGATAAGGCATGATAAACATAGTTATGTTTTTGCTATACATTCAACTCACATAAAATGGGATTCCTTTGCATTACAAACGTTTTGGATAAACTATAATAGGTATAGTTTATGATACATTTACATAACAAACTCATTACGAAAGGGGACATTTATACAAAAAGGGTTTTCATTACATTACACGTAAATTCGTTAATGACTTTTGTGAGACATTCGCTTCACTTTACAAATAAGTCTTGTATTGTAACCAGAGTTTCCCGGAGGGAAAGCGTGATAGTTGTATATAGATCTATATTGGGTCTGACAAACTCACACCTTAGCTGCATGCAACAGCTAGACCGGCAGGTCTGAGGTGACAAATGTCATAACATTTCCGATGCCTGAAGAACGTCGTTTCAGGCCATCTAAGTCATAGCATGGTTATAATAACTCACATTAAGTATTAACAAACATAGGATTTACGGGTATTTCATTGAAATCAAACGATCTTATGTCGATTTAAACTTGCATTATTTACTATAAGTAAGGAATGTTACTTATATATTTTGGTCTTGGGTTTTAAGACTACATTTTACGTATTAAGGAAAATATTGGATTTTCTGGAATGAACACTACTTTTACAAGAAAAGGTTTTTATAACTACATACCAATGCTTATGAACTCACCAGCCTTTGTGTTGACACTTTTTCAAACAACTTGTATTCTCAGGAAATCACTAAACAGGTAACCAAGTGCTTTTGAGGATGGGACGTTAAGGTGTCAAACATTTCATTTTTGTCAACATAATGTAATTGATTTGGAAACATGTAAACTCATACAATGATGTAACTCTTTCAATTATATTTATGTTGGTTGTGTTTACTTTAATCACTATTGCAAATGTTGTTATGATACTATACATGAAGTCCTCCACCCCCAAACGTTTCCGCTATCCTTGGTTTGGGGGTGTGACACGAGGAAAGCGGGTTTTCAGCCTAATGTACCACTCAAGGAGTGTGTACGGCCGTGAAAGGGAGTGTATGGCCGGACAAGGGTGTACGGCGGGACAGGGGTGTACAGCCGGTGTAACATCCCAAATTTCGAGTCTAAAATTTTCGTTTTTCAATTAAGTAGATTATAAAATATTTTACTGAAAACATTATCGATATCAAAATAAGTCCATAAACCATCATACATGTCTCGTATCATAAGTAGTAATAAAATCATAGTACAATCCCATAGATCTAAAATGCGGAATCTTGTGTGAGTGTGATGTCCAGCTACCACGCCAAATTACGACTATGAGTAGCCAGGGAACTTGGCGAGTCAGGGAAAAGACTCGACGAGTTAGACCACGATTTTAGGGTTCTAGGACTCGACGAGTTGATGGAGCAACTCGGCCAGTTAGGTCAATCTAGAATGTTGACTTTGAGCATGGGTAAAATGTTTATTTTACCCTTTGAAAGATTCTCAGTTTTTGACTAAGTGTTTATTGTGATAATGATAGTCGGGGAGTTGTCGGAGCAGCCATCAGAGATTTCCTCACACAAGATTTCAGCAGCTAGCATGAGAGGTTATTTTTCGTCCAGTAGGAACGGATCGAAGGCACCAATTCCGACCCGTATATGTATGTTAGCATATGCCGGACTTAGGTCCGGTGTCGGGGTTAGTCCAAAGTAGATTATATGTTTTCGGACTCCGGTCTGATGTGGGGCAAGCCGGAGGAATGTTTATATGCTTGATGTCTTCGTGATTATTGCATGTGTTTGTTTATATGTTCCGGGCTTTGGTTCGATGCCGGGCAAGCCTGATGAATGTTTAGTTTATATGTTACGTGTTATAGGTTCCAGGCTTCGGTCCGATGCCGGGTCAAGCCCGAGGGAGGTTTAGCTTATATGTTTATGTTATATGCTTGTTGATATGTTATATGTATACTGTATTTAGGTCTTATGTTGGGCGGAGCCCGATGTCGGACTTCAGTCAAATGCTGGGTAGGGCCCAATATCGGATTTGTCCGTTGTCGGGCGGGGCCCGATGTAGTGGGCAAGGTCTAATGTATGCTATTATGTGTTTATGTGTATGGTATGTGGTAGTTTGGGGAGACTCACTAAGCTTCGTGCCTATAGTTTTCAGTTTTGGTTTCAGGTACTTCCGCTAGTAAGGGGAAGAGCTCGGGATGACTGCATGGCACACAACATAGCTTTTAGCCTGGGATGTTTAGACTCTGATATTTTGACACATGATTTGATATAGTATTTTCATACGATGTTTTGAGATACATGACTTATGATTTTATTATTATGATGTTTGATGAATTATGGTTTTCTTAAATGATTTAAAATGAAAATTTTAGACCGTATTTTTGGGATGTTACATAATTTTTGGGATGTTATAGTCAAATTCGTCAAACAGTTAATGGTCAACTAGCACCAACCACCGCGTTGTAACCAGACCCCCTGGCCGCACCATGGTCACTAAAGGATAAAATAGTCACGACTGCTCTCGCGACCCGTACCACAACCAGTCGTTCTCCGCGACGCGGTTAATGGCCATAACAACTTATTTCATAAAGCTCTTAATCCTTAAGTCTAAATTTCTAAGGCTCATATCTGGACCGACTATGGATCTATATGGATAAAGTTTCTAACTTTATCCAATCCCTTTACTCAATAAGCCAAGATCTCAAGCCCTAGTTCTATTTGGGAACAAAATGCCAGGAACTTATACATGGCTCCAAGGAAACAAATGCATACCCCTTTTCCACAAAAACAAGTACATAAATGAACACCAACTAAACCCAAGGTTTTGGAGTTGATCAAAACTCCAAAAACATTATTCTAAGGAACAAGAAGGGAGTTAAAAGCATGAAATATTAATAAAAAGCAATAAAGGTGGAAGATTCATACCTTACGAAGCTCTAGAGGATGCAAAAGATGCAAGATCTGACGTCCAAACCACTCTTCAAGCCACAAGATCACTTCCTTCTTCTTCTAAGAGCACCTAAGATCTTGAAACACAAAGAACACACACTCTAGATACCAAGAACACACATACACACATACACACATTAAGCTAGGGTTTCTCTTTTGGATAATGGATGCTAAGGATGAAACGAAACCATGGCCATCTTATTGCTTAAATAGGGAAAAAGGCCTAAGGTTTAGAGTTTTGAGCCCACCCGCCACCGCAAAATCCACCCCCACCGCACCGCGACCAACACTTGACCTCGCCACCACTTAATGATGTGGCCGCACCGTGATGGATCTCCACCACCGTGTCATGGTAAGCCAAAACCTCAAAAATGAAGACTTAAAATAAGTTGATGCCAAAGAATTAATACCTAAAAATAGATGTTACACTAAAGAGATAAATTATGTAGGTATGTGTTCTTTAGAGAAAGTGTAGGTGTGTATATGTGTATTTTTGTATATAGAAAGAGATGACCGATTATCTTTTTCTTTTATTAAATAAGTAAGAAAAAAAACAAAAACTATGAATGGCATATTAGTCATTTCACAAAAACTTAAGCTTTATTTCTAACGGGGTTAGTCATAAAAGACCATCCGTGTATGGTTTTAAGTTCTCAATAACCATACATATTCAAAATTCTTCAAAATGATTTGTGGTGATATTTTTTGTCAATCATAAGAACCATTTATGTAAATTTGTTTAAAAAAAGTAAGAAATGGTATAAATGATATTTTAGATATGTTTGAGACTAAACTAGAAACAAAACCAAACCATAAGGGTGATTCATTTTTTTAAAAAATTAGAGGACAAACATGAAAATTACCCAAACCATAAGCACCATTCATGTACTTTACTCAAATAATTTACTATTCTGAAAAAAAAAAAACATTTCCTAATTCCAAACATAACTACAATAAATGATAAAATATTTACATAGATTCATTCGAAAAAAATTCATAAATTTGAAGGTACCTCAAAATGCAAAGAGATTTCACCAGAAGTTCACACTTCCTTTTAAAAATACATTTATTAAATCAGGAAAAACTATTTAACAGCATAAAACTACTTGACAATTAACTGGTTTTTATATTACTTTTTTGTTATATATTACAAAATTATAAATATAAATTTATTAAATATCATATCATAATTAACATCTAAAATAATTTGTGCATAAAAAACAAACATATATTATAATTTCTTATGATTAACATCTAAAATAATGGTCCTAACTCTAACACTAAAGCTAACCCTAACCCTAACCCTAAAGCCAAAGGCAAAGAAAATGGTAAGGCAAGGGATATATGGTTAAATTTTACCGTAGAAATGAATAAAAGCATGTGAGTCGGTCCAAAAAAGTGCTGGTTGCGTCTTTTTGAGTGGTTGGTCGCTACCAAATGACACCACCGGGTATATTCCTTTCCAATCCCTCCGGCGACTTCTTCCTCTTCTTCTTCTTCCGCCCGTAATTCACGCCCCAACCATAACCTTTCTGTTTCCCCTAAATTAACGCAACTTTCCCCCATCGCAGGACCACCATTGAATCATTACACGATTCTGATGGATTACTCGTTCTCTCCGGCCGCCGAACCGTGGCTATGACCACCGCCATATCTAATTTTCTCCCTCTTTTATCATCTTTTTCTTAATTTGTAATTATTGTTTTTTACATATATATGCATCCTTTTTGCTGTGTTCCCGCCGATCATAATAATTCGATGCCTGCTACTCCTTCCTCCGCTGCCGCCCCGGTATCGGATTTTTCCAAGCACATAAATCCCGTTCATAACGTTAACAACCACAACCACAACCACAACCACAACCATAACCACCATGTTACTTTCAATACGGCGTCGGATGCTGAACGGCAACCACCCGCGATGAGGTTGACAAGTGGAGATCAGAGAGATGTGAAGATCAATGATATAGTAGGGAGTGGGATATCAGGGATTTTGCACAAATGGGTTAATTATGGTAAAGGATGGCGGCCTCGATGGTTTGTGTTACAAGATGGCGTGCTTTCCTACTATAAGATTCATGGGCCTGATAAGATCGTTGTTAGTAAAGAGACTGAGAACGGGTCAAGGGTCATCGGCGACGAGTCTTTCCGCCGATTCTCTCGTCACCGAAATTCCGGCGCTACTAGTAATAATTCTCATCATCCTCGCCGAAAGCCCGTTGGTGAAGTCCATCTCAAGGTGAAGTCACTTACTCTTTTAACAATTTTCATTCAGTTTCAATGATGATCAGTCATCACGAGTCTGTCTGCGATTTGTCATAACATCTAGCGGTTTGAGAAGTTTAATTTGACAACTGATGTCTGAGTTAGGTTGTGCTTGACGGTATTCTGTAGAAAATCGTCTAAGAGAGATCAATCTGCTTGTTGGGATTTCTGTCTGTCTGACTTTCTAAACTTTTGGTCGGTTTGGGATTAATTTTCTTTGTTTTATGTGAATCCCTCTCTATCTTTGTGTTTGTATACCTGCAAGTGAATTTTTCCATTTGAGTGTGCTATGTGGTTTTTTCTTTGCATTGTTCTATCCGCTATTCGATGGTTTTGCATATATTTTGATACATTGTTTGGTGTCTGTCATATATTTTGTATGTAGGTTTCATCTATTCGTGAAAGTAGATCAGATGACAAAAGATTTTCCATATTCACTGGGACAAAAAGGCTGCATTTGAGGGCAGACACAAGGGATGATAGAATTGCATGGATGGAAGCTTTCCAGGCTGTGAAGGGCATGTTCCCTCGACTATCTAACAGTGAATTGATGGCTCCTGTTGGCGGCTTTACTGTGTCAACAGAAAAGTTGAGGCAACGCTTATTACAAGAAGGTGTTAGTGAGACAGCCATCCAGGACACCGAACTTATTATGAGGACTGAATTTTCAGCCATGCAAGATCAGTTGGTGCTTCTTAAGCAGAAGCACTTGCTTCTCATGGACACACTTCGTATGTTAGAGGTACATGTAATATCTCATAGGCCCTGTTTCTTTCTTTTTTCCCCCCATTAAGATCTCTTTGGATGAATCATGTTTTGAAAAACTGACTCTAAGTAAAAAAGAAACACCCAGATGTACTATCATCCTACTAACATTTGGATTCTACTTATTAAAGTTGTCACAGTTCCATGCATAACTTATTTACAGCAGGGGTAGGTTATCATTTGTTAATCTTATTGGCTTGTAGGTCATGGTTTTTATTTCATTTAGATCTGTACAGATGCAGGGGTTGTATGAGGGGAAACCTTTTGGTGTACTATTGATACCTTCGAGTGACATGAACGAAAATTACTTGGAAGAAATGCATTAAAATGAGTGAGTTGATGGTAGTACTCATTGTCATTAGATTATCAGTATCACTAGTTGGTGCCTTGGTGGCTATATCATCAGTCCATTTCAGTTTCATTTAAGCCTGCAAAAATGTTATGAACCAAGCTATATGACTAGTTTATTCAATTTACATTTACCAGTCTAGAGCCCTGTGTGTTTTTAGCTTGCAATAAATGTCATCCATGCTGTGATAATGGAATTACCCACCAAGTCTTTTGTAGCAATTGTAATAAATATGACACGGTATCTTTCATAGAACATAATATCATATGATGTATGCTAATAGTAGATGAAAAAGACCAGTAATTCATGTTAATCACTTTCAAGATTTTCTAATATGTTATCTGTTGCTTGTAGACAGAAAAGGTTGACCTTGAGAACACAGTAGTAGACGAGAGCCAAAGACAATCAAAGGAGGTTGGGGCAACTTCAAGACTAAGGCAAGAGAAATACAGTGGTATGCATTGATTTTCTTTTAATTCCATGTCTTGTTAGAGTGTTTTTTTTCCCTAAAAGGAGTAGGATGAATGATTTAAATGAAAAAAAAGGTATATGCTCTACGACTAGTCTGAAATGACATCTCTGTCAGTAGGTGTAAATGAAAGAAGTTAAGACTTAAGACCAGCATCTAAATCTTTTTAAAAATATCAGGATACTTTTTGATCTGAATAAACATACAAATCATTTTTCATCATAAAGGTGTAAAATGCTGGTTAGGCGATTAAGAAGGTATGATCTCACATACATAGGATGGTTGGCAATTATTTTTTGAAAAGATACAAGAGTTGATAGGAAACTAAGGAGGATAAAGAATGAATTGGGTTGGTTGGTATTTGGCAGAAGCAAGTGGAAGTGAATCCGAAGATGATAATGAGAGGGGAGATGCAGATGCTGCAGAGGAAGAGACAGATGATGAAGACAATGCCTTCTTTGACACACGGGACTTTCTGTCATCAGGTTCTTTTAAAAGTACTGGTTCTGACATGCGTTCCTCTTCATTTTCATCTGATGATGAAGACCATGAAGATGCTTCCATTAGATCATTTGGTACTGACTTCCCTCGTGTTAAGAGGCGCAAGAAGCTGCCTGATCCTATTGAGAAAGAGAAGGGAATAAGTCTTTGGTCGATGATCAAAGACAACATTGGAAAAGATCTTACCAAAGTCTGTCTTCCTGTATATTTCAATGAACCTCTATCTTCTCTGCAAAAATGTTTCGAGGATTTGGAGTATTCATATCTTCTTGATCGGGCATATGAATGGGGCAAAAGGGTCAGTATATTTCTTCTCTTAAAAATTATTACTATCATTATTATTATATTAAATACACGTATTTGATATTCATCTGATTTCTCACCCTTTTACTATAAAATCTGTTTTAGGGTAACAGCCTTATGCGGATTTTGAATGTGGCTGCGTTTGCAGTGTCCGGATATGCTTCTACTGAAGGAAGGAACTGCAAACCATTTAATCCGTTGCTAGGGGAGACTTATGAAGCAGACTATCCAGATAAAGGACTTCGATTTTTTTCTGAGAAGGTTTGCTTTGCGTCTTACTAAATACTAAAATACTAATTATTATCATGTGTCATTTCCTAAGAGTTTTAGTTCCAGATTACCATCCATCACACAAGTCTGTCAGATATGATACTCTGTTACAAATGAAATGCGGATATTAATTATATATAACTTGAAGGGTAATAACTTGAGAGAAAAGGATAACAGTTGAAATGGAAATGGAATAGACAAATAGTGTGTGTTGGTGTTGATGTTGATGTTGATTAGTTGGTTATGCAACAAACAGGTAAGTCATCACCCCATGATTGTAGCGTGTCACTGTGATGGCAAAGGATGGAAATTTTGGGGAGATAGCAACCTGAAAAGCAAGTTTTGGGGTCGCTCAATTCAGCTTGACCCTGTTGGAGTTTTAACTTTGCAATTTGAAGATGGAGAAGTTTTTCAGTGGAGTAAGGTATGAGTTTGTTTTGTGAATCAATCTGTAAATAAAGACCGACTTGATGTTGCGTGATGAGTGAGCAATGTTGTTTCAGGTAACAACTTCCATATACAACCTTATTTTGGGGAAACTGTATTGTGACCACTATGGTACAATGCGTATCCAAGGGAACCGTAATTATTCCTGTAAGCTAAAATTCAAGGAGCAGTCAATCATAGAGCGCAACCCGCATCAGGTAGGTGTAGCTTTTCCTTTTCTAGTAATTAAGTAACTTATATGAAAAGTTAAATAATTAATTAACAAGCTGCTCTGCTCTGAAGGTACAAGGAGTTGTGCAAGATAATAGAAGTGGAAAGACTGCAGCCAGTTTAATTGGAAAATGGGATGAAAGCATGCATTATGTGAGTGGAGATTGTTCTGCCAAGGGAAAAGGTGACCCGTATTCCGAAGCTCAATTGCTGTGGAGAAGGAGCAAGCCCCCAAAGGTTCCCACAAGATACAATCTAACGCGCTTTGCTATTACTTTGAATGAGCTTACCCCTGGCCTAAAGGTGTAATCTATCTTTTCACATACCTTTTTTCTTTTTCAAGTGTTTGCCTTGGTATGAAGGAATCAGTCTCAATCATCTCATCTCATCTTGTTTTTTTTTCAGGAGAAGCTTCCGCCAACTGATTCAAGACTAAGACCGGACCAAAGGTGTTTAGAAAATGGCGAGTATGAAACGGCAAATGCAGAGAAACTCAGACTAGAACAACGTCAAAGACAGGTACATTTTTTTTTTTTTTTCTTTTTTGCTTTTGGTTTCGTGTGCCTCTTAATTTCTGAATACAAAAACTTCAAACACCTTCCACCCGCTGTAAAAATATAGAGCTTATTAAGTGAAGCATCTCTTGTACAAACTACAAAGGGATATATAGAGACTTGAGGTTTATGACTTATTATATGTGGTTGGTTATTATATGATGACCATTTCAATGAAGACGTACAAGAGAAGAGTCGGCACAAAAACCAAGTCATTTGAAAAACAGATGGTTTAAAAAAAATAAAATAAAAAGAAGTTTTAGTGTTGGTTCGGTTTGTTTTTTGTTATAAAATATAAAAATAAATACCAAACCGAAGCCATACATATCTTAATATAACATCATAAGAGATGGATAGCATTTTGTCGAATTAGATATGTGCTTGTCTGTATAATTAATATGCTGCAATGACATGATTCAGGCTCGGAAAATGCAAGAGAGAGGCTGGAAGCCGCAGTGGTTCGCCAAGGATAAAGCAAGTGATACATTTGTTTATACGGGTGGTTATTGGGAAGCCAGAGAAAAAGCCAAGTGGGATTCATGTCCTGATATTTTTGGACAGTTTTCTTCGGATCAAACATTAGACTGAGGCTATATAATACATACTCATACTCATACTCATACACACTCCCCCTCCCTCCCTACTTTGCAAACAATTTTCAAATCGGAACATCATGATGATGATGATGAGGTTGTTGACCAGACATCGAAAAGTTAATAGGTGTTTAGAAGGACGCTCTCTCTCTTGGTTCTTCCCTTTTATGTGTTAATGTTTTCTATACTCCCTTTACCCTCCCGTCGTGTAATTGTTGTAAACTCGTGCTTTTATTTCTTCTTCCCATAAGGCCCCTCATTTGTGGTCCTTTTATACGTACATACATATTCTGTTGCATGTTAGATGACAAAGCCACCTCACCTCACAGCTTATACATATTGGTTCGTGATATTATAACTGTTAAGTATAATGATGAAACGGCCTTCTAAGGCATGCTTAGGACAAGACTGAAAGATTGTTTTTAGTGTTAATTTGATTGGATTGAGATCAATGTCAATAAAACAAAATATTTAGGATGCGTTTAGTCATGGAAACTGTTTTCTATTTTTCGTGTTTAGAAGGAATTTTCATTTTCTATTTTTTGATGTAAAATTTAGAAAATGTGTTTATTTAAAATTGACTAGTTTCTATTTAGAAAATTATAAAAGGTGTTGGTGTAGTGATGCGTATGTGTGTTTTGGACAATTTTTGTAGGTGGAAAATTATGAAAATAATATTTTTTGGTTTTTTGAAGTTTTCGAAGTTCTTTGTAATTTTAGAAAGGGTTATTTCCAAAAAAGACTATTTATTGGGTTTTTAAAGTTTTCGAAGTTCTTTGTTATTATCCTTCTCAGAATATGAAAATTCTTAATTTTCTTGTAAATATCTTGGAAAAAAATGTCAAGTAAACATGTTTTCAAAATTTCAACTTTTCTAAGCATTTTTTTTTTCTTGGAAATACCTATTTTCCATAACTGAATGAAGCCTTAAAATTCTTTTTTGTTCCATTTTGAAACGTGGAAGGAATAGTAAACAAATATCTGAAGATATTGATCGATACTATTGTATATTTCAAGGTGTATTTTGCTATAGAAGACATGATAAAGTTGAAAATGTCGTATAGTGTTTTGCATGGATTAAAATAGCGCACCATTCAAAGAGGTGGAACGAGGTAGGGTGCAACAGATGTGTGTCTTGGTTCGTTTTCGTTATCGAATATAATCAATTTAATGTATAACAAAACAAGAGTTTAGTTCAGAGCAATAAATTATTTTCTTAAGATCATATTTATAGATTTTATATACACATTGATCAAATGGTTTGGTAAAGGAAAGTTTGGGCCTCACCTAAATAGGTGTTCAAAAATATCCGAAGTTATTTGAAGTTCCAGATATTCAATTTTCTGAAAGCAGATAGATAATTGCTTTTTGTAGATTTTTGGATATCCGATGTTATTTAAAGATAAAAGAGACACTTTAGTAATACTTTTTATTTTATTTTATTTATTTATTTATTTATTTTTTAAAATAAGTAATTAGAGTTGATGTTAAGGGTAAAGGGAATGACTTCGTAGCGTGCAGACATGGTGTTATGGTAGCAAGATAGTAGCGGTAGGAACACCGCACCAACCTCTAAGTACCACAAAAATCACCCCCATGCAGAATCATCGTGTTGATCGTGATTAAGAGAAAAAGGAAAAAAAAAACAGAGTATTATTTATATAGTGGAATTTGTCGTGTAAAAAATATATATGAAGAAATGTATTTCATTGATTATTAAAACTTGGGATGTCATCACTGATAAAAGAAACATATTCATAAACGTAATCATTACTGACCTTACAACACCTAATGGCATACATCTCTTTTAATCTCTCATCTGATCGAAACATCAAATACCTTTGCATTGATACCTGTGATCCTATATAACAACATTGTGACATTTAATCATAAGGATTAATGTGAACAACAATTTGACTACGTGGCCCTTGTTGTGAAGAGAGCATCTTGGCAAGCTTGGAGACTCCTTTGAACAAATTATTTCAATTTCATCTAGTAAGAGGCACCTAAAGATACATCACTTGTAGGAGCATTCGTGTAACATCCGAGATTTGCATGTATTAATATTATTTATTTTATTGATTAATGGGTTGGTGTTGATTTGGGCCAGGATTGTTGGGCCTTAAGTTTTGGGCTCTTAAAGGCAGTACGCGGGGCATACCACGTCTGGTACATGCAGCGTACTCAAGAAGTTGGGACGGGAAGACCATGCACGTACGCCCAAGGTACCAAAGGGTACGCGCAGCGTACGCACGCATGTTCTAAACCCCTAACTTTTAGAGTTTAATCCCTATTTAAAGGACCTTATGCCTTTGGTCCAACCTCCTTCTCACCCTTATACAGCCTCCACGAAAACCCTAGCCCCGGTTTGTGTGTCTTTGTGTATTTGTGTCATTTGAGAGCTTCTTTGGGTGATTTTGGCATTTTAGAAGAAGAGGAGGTTGAAGAAGGATCAAGGATTCAAAGAGGAGTTTATAGATCCACAAGATAAGCACCGTTTCTGACTCATTTGAGGTATCAAGGTTCAAACTTGATCATTCCATGTTGTGATTTGATTTTAGGGAGTTTTATGTCACTTTTGGGCTCCTTTTTTGAGGATGCTTGAGCCTTGATGGTTTCCGAGCCTAAGAGTTGTCCTTTTGGGCTCTTGAAGGCACCTAAGGTCATAAAAATCGGACCTTGATGGTTAAGCTACAACCATGCAAGTGTTTGATGCCTATTAAGCTTGTTAGAGGACCAAAATCAAGTTTTGAGAGCTAACCATGCATGCAAGCACATAAAGTTTGTGACTTTATGGGCTAGGAGGTCTTAAGGGGCTTGGATCTATAGTTTGGACGTAAGGACTTACTGTATTAAGTCATAGATGAAGTCCCAAGGAAGTTGGCCAGTACGCTAAGCGGTAGGGGGTGAAATAGTCCCTGGAGATTGGTCGAAAGGACCTAAGGGGTAGGCCAACACCCAGATATGCTAGGCATGGTTACCGGTCAATAGGACCGAAGGGGTAGGCCAGCACCCATATATGCTAGGATATGTTACCGGTCGAAAGGACAGAAGGGGTAGGTCGGGCACCCAGATATGCCTGATAGTATGTGTGTTATGTATGGTATGTGGTATGATGGGGGAACTCACTAAGCTTCGTGCTTACAGTTTTCAGTTTTGTTTCAAGTACCTCTTCAACGAATGGGAAGGAGTTGGCGCGGTAGCTGCACGGTACACACACATACATATGATTTCCACATTTTGAGATCCCTGGGATTATACTCTGACAATATTATTATTCCACATGTTTTATGATGTTTGACTTATGAGATTATGGATTGATATTATATCGATGATGTTTTCAGTAAACGATTTTATAAATTACTTAATTAGAATTAAAAATTTTTGGCCTTGAAAATTGGGATGTTACAATTCGCACGTGTTGTTTTTCAAATACTTTGTCATTTTCTATAAGAACTTGTTCAAACTTATTGTAAATTGTAATGCTTATTAATACTATGGTTGGTGTTGTTGTTTTTTTTTTCTTGTTTTTTTTTAAATCTTTTGCAATGAAACCTTTTGTACAGTCGTGCCACGTGTTTCTGCTTTAGCGGAGTGTGCCATTATCTAACAATGTTCATCTATGAACATAGCCACTAATGAAACCTTTCTTTCTTTCTTTCTTTCTTTCTTTCTCTCTCTCTCTCTCTCTATCTCTCTCTCTTTCTCTCTCTTTGTATGCATATATATATATATATATATATATATATATATATATATATATATATATATATATATATATATAACACCTGTAGATTCAGACAACACCAATAAGGGATAAAATGACTTTTTGATAGAATATTATTTAGGATAAATAATCAGTTATAGTATATGTGAAAAAGATTCTATACATATGAAGAACTCTAAAATCTGATTTCGTATGAAGAAGTTATGCTTCTTCGAACTTTCGCGATTAAACAGACATGACTATGTGCGTCATAAAAATTGAATTTTAGATAGGTTTCTTATTAGCCTAAGTAATCCAAAAGAAGGTCATAGTAATCATAAAACTTAGAGCATGCATATAGAGAACGTCTAATCCGACTTCGTATGAGGATGTGAGTGACCAAGTTTCAATCTTTATGCTTTAGGTTGCTAGATCTATGCTTCTTGTCCCCTTTTAGCTAATTTTGGGAAAGTTTGGGTGGAAGGATTCCATAAAGTTGACAACTTTATGGATCCTTGAGGTCCCTTGAAGGTTATATGATTTGGATATGGAGTTTCGTGTAGTTTTGAATCCATGCATGGGATTTTAGTTCTACTTTCACCATTTTGACCTATTTTTAGTTCAAGACATGCACTAGACATGCACATTTATAAAGAATCAATCTTTAGAAGGTTTTTAGGGTATGAAATCCCTTTGATAAGTTAGGATGATTAGCTTAATGGATAAATGGCTTAATCCAATAAACTACCCCAGTGCGGTTCTCATGACGTGATCATATTGGTGTCACAACGTAACGATGAGGGTTCATCGATTATTTTGAACAGATGCTGTTAAGACGTGGCTATCACAAAATGTCAATAGATTTGAACGAGAATGTTGGCTCATGGTCGAGTTCATTTTCCCATGATGTAACCCTGGGTTGGTCACGATGTGAGGGTCAGCTGAAGGTGATGTTGACCGTTGGCATTGACCCTAATCGTTGACATGTTGACATGGGTTAACTTTTAGTCAAACTGCTAGTTCTAGAGTATAGACTAAGGTGGGACATTTTTTTGATTCGATAGATGAGTTGTAGCACCTGTTGGGTTTTTATTCAAAAATTATTTCATAAACATAATGAAGGCAAATGAAGACTTTAATTTTGAAAAAATAAAACTAGTTTTATTCCTGCTAAAAGATCATTTTGCAAGATTTAGAAAGATTAAAACAATAATATAATGGAAAGCAAAATAACCTTTGAAGACTTTGGTTCCTTTTGGAAATTAGGAAGTTGATGAAGATGGCTTTAAGCTTCAAGGAAGAAGTTCTCTAGAAGTATCCACCAACATTTTGCCAACTTGATAAGTTGCTAGTCTTGTTCTTGTAATAAAACAAACACTCTTAAGCTTTAAATCAAGGCCTAAGTAATGACTTAAAGAGAGATGCAAGTATCAACATCTTATTACTTTGATTTTAACTCAAAAAAAGACAAAACAAAAGAGAATATGGAGAGAATAAGGATAAAAGTTCTTGGTTTTGGCTAGCCAAATGAGAAGAATGAAAGTCTTTATAAATCCAAAACATTACCCATTAGGTCTTAACACTTTTGGACATGTCATGCTTCTTTTTTATATTTTAATGTCATGCTTCTAAAGCATGTCCCCTAGATTAAAACAAGTTAACGACCATGTCTCCATTCTCTAGCCATGCTTACACTTTTATAAAGAAAAATACAAGATTTTATAAAAAAACTTCAAGTCTTTATAAAATATAAACCCTTATCTTTTTAGCTAAAAGACAAAAGTCTTTCTAGTCCAAAAAGATGTACATCACTTAATAAATCATACCTTGATATATTATGATAGTTAACATTGAAAATTAATCTTTCTATAAATTAAATATTTTCCAATTAATTACAACATTT